GGCTTAATAAGATGTAATTATAAAGTGGTACCGTACTTTATACAATAAAATATATACATACAGTTACCTTACAATCCTAGCCAAGCCATTTTTAAAATGAGGGTGCTGCTGATGGTTTTAAGTCTCTAAACACTTTGATATTAAACCCTGTTGACTGAATGATGATGATTGATTGTCCCTTAAATTCACAGACTAAAAAGAAGTGCACATCGCATTTAAGACAGATAAATCACCTCTGATCCACACACTCCTCTGAGCCTCGACCATCTCACTTCCAAATGTTTCCATGCAACTTTAAAGCGCAGCCTTTTTCTTTGACTGTTTTTGTTTTCCAATCCTACGAGAACATTCCAGAGGGGAAACTTGTGCACCAGCATATTTTGTTGGTAAAGGGAATTCATTACACACACATGGTCCATTGATAGATATAAAAGTTTTTAAAGTCTTATAAAATAAATTACAATAATGTGTGTAGTACAGTTATCTTCTTGTCACTTTTATTTTATTGTATTTTAAAACAAACATATTGTCTTAATTTTAGGTTCAACACATTTTAAGTATTATGGGCTCTGGATTACATTGAATTTAGATTTGAAATTGTTTGAAAACAACTAAGCATAAAATTTCTAAATCCTTTAGAGCAAAGACAACACAGATTAAAAAAAATCTGTTGGATGTATATAAAACACTTACTTTTTCACTTAGAATAGAAAATATGTTATGCTATTATTTCATTACTTATGTGTATTTTTATTCTGTTCGAATAAATAAGCAGCTAAATCAATCAAAAATAAAATATGGTCCCTTTTACCCAAACCAAACCTAAACTATTTTAACAGCTAATCTCCTGCCATGTCGTATATCGCCTGATGTTTCACTGTTACATAGGAAAGCGGTGACAAAAAGGCAAAACATTTTCTCTCTCTCACTCGCTCGACTATGCAAACTGAGCCTAATGTAAATTGTGCTGCCAAAACTTGAAGCTAAACGGTAAAGTGATCCTGAGTCCATGTCACCTCCACTCACGTCAGGCAGTGGCTGAGGAGTGGCCCGTTCGTCTGGGCTTGGGGCTGGTTCCCATTATTGCCCCATGTGAAGGATGGAGGCACACGGACCATTACGAGGGGCCGAACGGTCGAGTCGTGTTAAATATGGAGAAGGCAGAGAAGCAGGAGGCACACAGGGGCACTGGACCGGAGCGGGACAGGGAAATGAATTTACATTACAGCTGAAAATGGGTCAAAGTTTGGAATAGCAGGCAATAGTTGGCAATATGTTTTTGTTCATGTTTGAACGTTGTGAATTCTTGAGTATTATATGTGTACTGTTTATTATAGTTTAAAGTAGACAATTCTTTAGTTTTGGATTTAAACATATGTGTGAAACTTATTATACTATATAGGTTTATATTATATTATATATATATAAGTTGTTTCAAACTGGATGAAAGAAAAGCATTGGTTGTGACAGCGGACTAGTTTTTTCCATTGTGATTTTAAAAGTGTCAAAGTTTTAAGACAACCTTTGATTTTAAATATAGTGTAAGCTGTACATTCTGATCACTGGTAATTTCTGAGAATTTTATAGGGGAGCGAAAACAAATTGATGGGAGTTTTGAATGTCAAAATTTATCATGTTAAATGTGTGTGTGTTTTTAAATCTTGCTGTGTTTTAGGTGTGCCACAAATACTCAAGTTTAGGCCTCACAATTTGTTTGTAAAATGTAAATAAACATATCTCTTGATAAAAGAAATAGTCTGAATACCATCTTCCCATGACATGTTAATAAATATACTTGAATGTTTAAGTTAAAACTGAAATAGTATCTGCATCCTACAGAGTAAACAGCCCTGACAGTTGTGAGTGTCTGTATGTCACACATTTAATCCAGTCTAATTTAATGAGACCCACCATTCAACAACTCTCATCTATAAAAGTCTCGCCCTTTGCCTCGTCCCAGTCTAGTTAAATGTTTACTGTGCACCACTGGAGCCCAAATGTTGCAAAGCTGTCTGGTCCGACTGCTTGAGCTTTTGAATGGGGGTTTCGAATGGATTTGCCCTGGTGTGGGGTGTGTGAGGAGGGCAGGAGGAGAGGCCAGAGGGCACAGTCTTCAGACGGTCCCAGAGAAGACCCTGACACATCAAATGAGGAAGTGCTGTCTCCTGGGACTACAAATATGGAAGAGTGTGCTGGGATTGAGCTGTTAAGTAGAAAGTTTGGCTGTCAGTGTATGCATATGTTTGGCTCTTGTACATTTTATTACACTTTCTGATATATCAACTGGTATATATGTATTCATCCATTACATTCTGGGTAAAATACTTGCATGAATTGCAGTCATATGAATATTTTTGTTAATACAGTTGCAATATTAGCCAATTCAGTATAAATTGTGCTGTTGACTTAGAGTAGCATCGTCATTTTATTAAGCCAAACTTCAATGTAATTTATTCAACTACTAATTTTGTTGATGCCTGTTACTTCTGTTATTGATATTATAGTGATTTCTGGCAAACTTGAGTAGAGGCATTCTCTTCTCTATTAATTACTTTTCCCATCATCCTATCAATTGTTTTGATTCCTAAAAATAAAACTCTCTTGAATCAATAAAGACATAAGTACCACATTAAAATCTTTTCCTTGCCCATTGTGAACTTAAGTTTCATAAAATAAATGAACGAGGAAGCAACAACCAAAGCCTGACATTTCTCAATCGAAACATGAGGAATCATTTTTCATCTCGACTTTGGTGAGCTCTGCATATTTCAGTCTCCTCTTTAATTTATGTTTATGTGGGGGAGACGGTTTGTAGCGTCATCTTTTAATCACAAGGTAAACAAGTGAAAAGTGTTGAAGAATGACGCCACATGAATCTGATTTTATTTGGGAGGCAAAATAAGGATCTTAACCTAGGATCAGATCAGACAGAGGAGATGGAGGCGGATGTTTGGGTATTGAGGGCAGAGAAATAAAGCAAACACAGTGTTGACATCTGAGTTGCATTAATGTCAGAGGTCTCCTGGTCTGTGCAGTGCGTGTTTGTTCCTGCTTTCTTCACCGTGAATCCGCTCGTGTTGGAAAAGTGGCGCCTTCAAAGAATAAATAATATGACAATCTGATCCTGTAGTTGTGAAATAGAAGTGGAACTAGAGATTAAATAACAAAACAGTACAGTTGTTCTAAATTCTTAAGGATCTGAGTTAAACTGATACATTTGACTTGATTTGCGTAATGTGTTTTTTGTTTTTTTCAAACAACTGCAAAATTTAAGCTATTATTAGTTAAACTATATTAGACTAAATTAACAAATCACTGTTTAATTATTATAAAAGCTTAAGATGACAGAAATGAATTGAATTCCAGTTGACGGAATTGGATTTCTCCTTTGCTGTAAAAGCTTAAGGGTATTCTCTAAAACTGTTCAAAAATACACTGGAAAAATGTAAAAAATAAAATAAAATATATATATATATATATATTTAAAAACTGTTACTTCCCACTGTCTGTCTTACATTTAAATCAACAGGCATTTTATTGTTCGGTTGTATATAATAACTGCAGACAACCCCACGGTTCCAGTGCAGATGTCATTGTTTAAAAAACTCCTAAAAGCAGCAGCCGCCTGTATTTTGAAGGATAGATATGTGTTTCTAATATTTTGAGGCTATTATTGCCGAAGGCCGCTTTCCAAAAACTGTCATAACATCCGCCATAAACTTCTACCTCGTGCGTAAAGCTGATGGACAGGCCTCTCCAGGAACCAAAACCACTCAGCCGTAAAAAGCACAAATACGATTAGCCTATTTAATGTTTTTAAATGGCAAAATAACTTTATCGTAAACCTTAAGTTATTTTACAATATAACTTGTTTTCAATTAAATTTATTCCGTTCATTTTGCTTAATTCCAGCTGTGCGTAATGAGCATTTCATGGGCACGGTTTTGTGGATTCAGTCAAAACTACATTTACTATTTACTGTTAAGAAATTCAATATCCTATTTATTACAAAACCCTAAAATGAATTAAATGGGGAGGCGTTCAATGGCTATTTGTTCTATTTTGTAGCAAAGCTGTTCGCCTCTTTAATATACTGAAATAGGTTACCACAGCAAGTTTATTTATTTTAAGTTACTATAACTTGGTTTTCTTTGCATTGCTGGAGTTGTAGGCCTCTTTTTGTTTTTCCACTTCGATGCTCTTTGTCTGAACGCTCAAATTGGGATAAGAATAAAGAGGATTTAACCCAAGTCGACCTCAACAATTTACCCTCTTTACAGCTACTGCACAAATTGTCATTAGTCCTATTAGACCCATGATCCCGCAGCCACCTCGCGCCCGACTCACAGCGCGGCCTAATTGGAGCCAATCAGCGGCGACTCTCGCATCTGAACAGTTTGAAGCTCATCTGAAAACGTGTTAATTCAATTGTGCGTCTCAACCACGACATTAAGGATTGTAATGCAGCTTATCGAGTTAAACCAAAGCACTAACGCAATGGAGGATTTGAACAAGAGAAAATGTGTGAGACTGGATATTACGCACAAACGTCTTAACCGCTTTACGCACAGAGGTACCTACCGTAGGCCACAGAGACGCACCAACAATATACAATATAAGACGTTTTATCACCACGACGTTTACTTAGCCCAGCGTGAATAAACGGGATTTAAGAGTCAGCATAATACGCGATTATAATTGAGCTGCCTCACTTTCTGTTAGAGGCTTGAAAACACTACCATATGTTGCCTTTGAAAAACGTAAAAATTACGTAACAATATGCGCACAAAGCATCTGTAATAATACATAAAAACATCAATGTTGAAATTGAGCAACACACTAAAGTGCTTTATAAGTTTTACTGTACAGTCTTTGCTGTAGTCCTGTTGATGTCTGCGCTCAACAATTTTGATAAATCGCGTTCTTAAATAAAATGAAACTAAACTAAAAACAAGCCACTCATAACCATCCATATCAAATCCATAATGCGGTTGTCTCACCATAGCAGTGGACGGCCGTCCCGTTGTGTCCTCCTGTCTCCTCGTGCGCTCTGTCCTCCTCGGGGGGCGTCTTGCACGAGGACCTGAAGAGCTGGTATTTGCTGAAAGAGTCCTCACCACTTGTTGCCGTAATTGCTGCTGCTGATGCTGCATCCAATGAGTGGCACTTCTCCGCGTAAGTCTCGCTCTTGTTACTGAGCAGGAAGGGACTGTATCTGTGCGAGTCAGCGGAGGGGAACGTCCTGAAGAGCTGCTCCCTGCTTTGTGCCGTGGACATAGAATAGTAAGAATCCATGGATGTCATGTCGTAGTGTGGGACGCGAGCTTCTGCGTTCATGCTTTTAAAAAAGGAGGAAATGTTTGTCTCTCTTGCTCTCTCCAGGCTCACAGACACCCCTCCTCTTCCTATACCTCACACACAGCAGATGTTTTTAGTTATAAAACCATTCAGATCTCTTCCAGGAACCGCTGTCGCTGACCACGCTCCCGCTAAAGGTCTGACTATAGGGATAGTTGGGATAGTTGTTGGGACCACTCTCTCCCCCTCGTCGTGATTCCCATGTGATTTTATGTGAATGACACAGAGCGGTGAGGTCATGTATTAGATGGGCAAAGAAGGAGGGGACTTAACACATGACATGAAACCAGTGTTGGATATGAACAGGCCATAAGCCGTGATGAGTGATGGCACTGGGGCGGAAAAGACACGATTTTATGCATTATTCGAAACGGTTCATCAGGAACGAACGATCCATTTACGCGCTCCATTGTGCTCAGTGATTTATCAGCAGATAGTTTGCTTAATGACCTGCGCTCCTCTAGTGTATTTATTTTTGTATCGTATTTATTTATGCGTGACAGAAGAAATATATTAAGTAGATTTTTGCATTGAGTTATATTAGAAATAGTTGAGCACAAGCGCTTGTGGTGTTACGGAAGGTTGGTTTGATAACAACTCTTGAATGAATACATGTAAAGTGTGGAAATGAACCAGTCTACTTTATGTTTGAGTATGACAAAAAGAGTGGGATGAAGTGTAATCTGATAAAATTCACCTCTTACTGATGAACAGAATTTTAAATGAACAAATTTGACTGTGATGTATTTCAATCCGAAGCAAAATTTCAACAAAGTCGGACATATACCACATCTTTAAAGTGAAGCATAGACTCTGCTCTGATCCCATCACACATGTTGAGCAGATGAAGGTTTGGAGCATGTGTGAGACAGATAAAAGGAGGACACCAGCGGGACCGAGCGGCACAAAGACTCTTTATTTACATGTCTTCATCTGAGACTGAAGACGTAGCTCAAACTAACTTCTGATGGGACACTGCTAAACATAGGACAATTTTTAAAGTGACTTAATCACTTTCATCCAAATGAACTTTCTCCAAGTAGCCTTCCCTCTTCTGACAGTAAATCATTTATGGCTCCGAGGCACACTACAATAATTCATCATAAGATACTCGTGTAGTGCATTCATATCTGGACCAAAAGCAAAAATTCATGTGTAAGCTCTTAGTTTGAGAATACTGTATTTTTGTGCATATTACACACAGTATTACACACAAAGTTATTGTCATTATTGAGCATAATGCCTAAATTTTTACAATACACAAACTTAAAAAAACCCATCAAACACCTGACAAAAAGAGAGAAGACAGATATTTTATGAAACTGTATGTGTGTTTTTAACATATAACACTATTGTTATATTTGTTAATTATAATCTTTTATAGTTTGTAAATCTTAAAATTGGAAACATTTGGTGAGTTACTATTGCATTGCATTAATCCTCAAACCTATAACACATTTCATTACAACCGTGCAGACATTTTTAGTTTCTGTGAGTTTGTTTGACTGTTTTATTTTAGCATGATCTGACCAGAGAGAGCTGATTTGGTTGAAAGTAAGCAGGTGAGCTGATACGTGCTGTTAAAAAAAAGTCTCTCACACTTAAAATTACAGTCACAAGTTACCAAGCATCAGCCAGCCATTTTTTAGTTTGTCACTCTCAACTTTTAATTGAAAATCAAACACCTAAAAGGGACCATGAACATTTCATCACAGGCTTTAAATCCTTTTGTATTTTTTTCTTAAACTTTTTTTGTCAGTGTTTGCTAATGTGTGCATTGTATCACTATGGTAACCACCCCCCTGTGATATCACTGCAAAGTATCAATATGCAGCAGAAAAGCACATAATATTCAGTCTATAGACACTATACTATATATACAAACTGCATTCATTATTAAACAATGTGCTCTATTCCTATACATACACTGAACAAACTTGTTGCACATGGCTATAACAAATGTAAAAACTTTATCTTGTGGAAAAGGAAATGGACACATTAGACTTCTTTTCTACTGTCAATCTAAAACATGCCTAAAGCACAAACATCCCAGTCAGGAAGACGCAGTGTCACCGGCTTTCCCCAAATTCATCACAAACCCGGATACATTTTATGTGGGTCTCTATTAAATCAGGAGCGTGACTAATTTTTTAGGAAGCCATGCGTAATTATGTTTGATTTTGTAAATGCTCTGGTACTGGAGAAGCACAAAGACATTGTATGGCTGGGATAATGAGGGGGACTGTTGTGATTGTCGTTGGCCAATAACCCAGCGATAACCTCTAGCACCCCAAACCGGACTTTCTATTTACGATATTTAGGAATGTGGGGGTTAAAGACAAACACAAGGAAGAGCCACATCCTTATGGGGCAGACGGCATTAAACTTTAGCCTCTGCAGCTTTAGCCTGTGGCAAAGAAGATGGTGATTGAGGCCTTTGATGGGCATTAACGTAGCGTGGAGTCGCTTTTGTTCAAAAATGGAAAACAACCGGAAACACAGAAGGGGACCACAACATCTTAGTTAATTTTGCTCAAATGTGTTCTCTACAGAGATTGTTGTCAGAGGGGAAAATTATTTGATAGACAGTTAAAACCAAGAAAAAATTATATAGTAAATTAATTTACAATATTTTTTCTTCAGTGGTATTTCTGCACCAAGACTATCTATTAAGGTTTATCCATTTTCATTTAAAAATAAAGAACGGAAATGTGATCCATGACAAGAATTTTACAAGGAGTAATTTGTAGTAAATGTATTATTAGATGATGTTTTTTGTTTTTTTTACATATGTTCATATATCTGTATTTATAATTCAGCATTTTCACTTGTTTGCATCATGGATTTAATTTCAGCTGGAATGCAAATGTGTGGGAGACTGTACATTTGTGTAATCACTTTTTCTAAACAATATTTTAAGAAAATATACAGACCTGAAGTGAAATTTAGTTTATTATTCTGATATACACCTGAGTCGTAGGCACTTCTCTGAGGCTCAACATGTGAAAATGATCTGTCCCTTGTTGGCTTCCTCACTGTAAACATGGGCTGAATGTTTCATCATGACAAATGCAAATATCTGCTCTAGATCTCACTCAAACACAAACATGGCTCCTCTGTCACATCCCATCACTTTGTTTAGAACGTGAGACAGAAAGTGGATTTTCATAAAAACACGCCGAAGCAAATCAACTACACAAGAGCAGTTTGTCGTGGTTGACTTGAAAACCTGTGTTGGCTCTGTACAAAAAGCCTTGAAACATTTATGCATATAAAACCAACTGAGTGTGCACAATGGGATGATCACTTGAGATAATGAACAGTTGTTAACACAGTAACTAGGCTAATCTTTCCCCAGTGGTGCTCCTAACAGGAGTCAGGTGGCATATAAAATAAATATGAGTTTACAATGGCTCACAACATATTTACTCATTTGTAATGTTTTCTTCAAAGGGACTTTTGCACAAAACTTATCTATAATGGCTAATACAGTTTTTCATTTAAAAGTACATAATGCATTTTTATAATTTATTTACGTTTGCTATGACAGTGTAGATGACTTTCTCTATCCAAATTTACATATTACTAATTTGAACGTGAACTACAACTTCGTATTTGAAATGTATCTATGTGTCTTATTTTCTTTAGGAGACAGAACTATTTTTCAGCTCATTTTAAAATATATTACCAAATATATAGAGAGCAGTGGTTGGTCTTTTTTAATATAGTACACCGAAGGAGGTAAAGAGCTAAAATCATCTGTTCTTACTTTCTATATCTCCAATAAAGACTGGTGGATGTGTGTTATCTTGTCTAACACAGACTGAGACAGAGCGCTGGATTCAAACATCTGCTGCACACTGACAGAGGCTCCACATCTGGATCAGAACACCACCCCAAAAACAGGTAACATGTGATCCACTGATATTCTTTAGTGTTTAAAATCTTTAAATTATTGTTTATAATTTAGTCCTCTAGTTGGAACACTTGTATATGAATGAATCCTTCACAGCTGTTTTGCCTAGGTGAGTGGTTAGTGGCTATTTTGATATAATTACATTTATACATAACTGGAGTTGTGTTTTGTTTCATTTCATTCAAACATGTTTGAGTAATCCTTTAGTATTAGTCGGTCTACATCTCCAAAGCTCAAAATGCTCTGTTCCATGTGTTATTTAATGGTAGTTTTCAAGTTAACAGCTACCTTTTACCTTTAGTTCAACACAGATAAAAAATTCCAGGGTTGAAAGTATCCAAATGATTCGACAGAAGGTGTATGATGTTTAAAAACACAGTGGAACATTTCCTGTGTTTTGTATTTGAGAGAAGAATTCAGTCTAAATATGCAGGATTTGTGTGCTAAACATGTGCGAATGAAACAAAATGCAACTCCAGGTATGTTTTTTGATAAGGAAACAACATTATAACATAGATCAGAACATAAATATGGGCCCTTTAAGTGGAAAGTATTGTGTGAAATGAGGGTGATCTCATGATGCAGAAGTCAGCAAAGAGCCTGGCATATGTACTGCAGCTTAGATCACTTATTGGGCAACTTTTATACGCATTTTCATGTATACTCAGTAAAATATTTCAACCACAAAATTATAATGTGATCATATAGTATAAAGAAAATGAAAACATCAACGCTAAACCTCAAACATATTGTAACTATATCTGAAAAGAATAATAAGATAACCTTCTGTCATGTTAATTTCTGTTTCATCTGTTTTTGTCCTTACAACCTCTCGTATACAGGAGAGAGATATATTTCTATTTATATAGTTTTTTTTATTTTTACTTGTACATATACATTTATATAATTATGCCTTATTTGACTCCAGTGTCTTGTTATTTTTGCTACTTATTATGTAGTATTACCTTTATATTTTTGTTCTTTATTATAATATATTGTGATGTGTGAGCTACTGTGTTCAAATAATTTACCTTGCAGCTCAACAAAGTTTAAGTCTAAATAA